CGGCATCATGGCTTATACTCACACCCACAACTAGGGTTTTCAAGGTTAACCAAAATGTAGGTTGTTTTAAACACTCTCATTGCATTTTTGCTGATGTTGCTTCTATTTACACCCTCACTTATCCATTAAGAGTTGAGCCTATAACCTTAGTATCCATTGTATCCATTGATCTTCTTAAGGTGTATTTTTTTGCGGGTGGATCTACTTAAGTTGTAGAATCACTAAGGACTATGACAATGACATTTTACACTTTAATTAGTTGCTAGAGTCTACATCTTGGAACGAATTACTACTACATGTTGAAACATTGTGCAACAAAAGAACATGGGCAACTTAAGAAGATAAATCATGGGACCATATAGTCGGGTTACTTTTTCAATCATGGATGCGGTTGCTAGGGCAAAAAATAAAAACATTGCCATAATGTCCTCTAGGCATCTAGCTTAGAGATCCTCATAAAGAAACTGGGACCTCTTCTTTTTTTTCGAAAAGGGATGTCACTGGCATGTGCATTGATGGATGTACATAACCATGGATAAAACATCTCCACTACTAAAGGTGAGTTGGAAATTGTACGTTGGTACATCCAACTCCCCCTCTATCCCCTCCCCACGTCCTGCATTAACTCAATCAAATTAAATCAAATTTTATCAAAACCTCAAATAAATCAAAAAAAAAATCTTGCCTTCCCCACTCATACCCAAATCTAATCAAATCTTACTAAAACCTCACCTAAAATAAAACTTTCCTTTGCCTCAACAACCCATACTCAAATCAAATCTTATCAATATGATGGGTGTAAGATTTATGTCGGACATGATAGATGTTGAACCACTAGAATATAAATGTCCCTATTGCGACGCTTGGGTAATTAGTTGTTATGTCGTTATATTGTGCAAAAGGAAAAAAAGATTCGGATGAAACAAGATAGAGAAACAAGCAGAAGATATCTCATTTTCTCGGTCTATTAGTAAGAACTGATTTCGAACCTATAATGCTTAGTTGGCGTTTGTCGAATGAAGAAATGGCCTAAACTTGAATTTTTAGGGTTTTAATTTCCTTGCTGATTTTGGCGCTATGACCTAAATTTAGTTTCCGAGCTTTGGGACGATGCTTTCCATTTCCTGAATTGCACAGACAGTACTACTGCGGTATTCTGCACACACGTATAGATGTGGACTTGACTTTTGGTTTCAGCATATGAGGCGGTAGCTTCAAACTTAATTAATGTCGATCGTATACTTGCTAGTACGTACTTGAGGTTTTCAATAGCGATCGTAGCACACCCACACCCCACATGCATCTTCAGAGAAGCAGCAGCAAAACTTAATGGAATCGTACGTGATCACTCTGTGTCTCTAGCCTAGCCTTCAATGGATGCACGGTCATTTTTTTTTCCCATTCTTGTTGACACTGTATGATCGTTGTTTAATGTCTGTTTACTACGGAGCATCTACATGAATTTCACCAAGATCGATCCGGCATGGTGCAAAGCTTCAAACATTTACTTCTTTGGGTACATGGTCGGTCTCACCGGACGCGCGGGCACGTGGTGGTTGGGCATGCAGGTACGTGTACCGGGTGGCGTGGGCGTACAGCGGCGGCAACCCCAAGGCGGCGGCGGCGCTGGTGCCGGACTTCCAGCGCGCGTTCGAGCACATGTGCATCCACTCCGGCGGCAAGGCGGTGATCGACACGGTGGCGAAGCTGTTGGGGTTCGCGCCGGCGGTGGTGGAGCCCGCGCGCGCGACGCTGCACCGCTTCGGCAACACCTCCAGCAGCCTCGTCTTCTACGAGCTGGCCTACTTCGAGGCCAAGCGCCGCGTCCGCGCCGGCGACCGCCTCTGGATGCTCGCCTTCGGCACCGGCTTCAAGGCCTGCAGCGTCGTCTGGCGCGCGCTCCGCGACTCCGGCCCCGACGCCGACAACCCCTGGAACGGCTGCGCGCACCGCTACCCCGCGGCATTGCCGGTGCCCACCCCGCGCAGGCAGAACTACCAACCCCAGCCCGAGCAGCACCAGCAGCAGCAGCAGCAGCAAGAGGAGCAGAAGAAGCTGTGAGACACCCATACCGTACGTACGTCGCCGTCGATCCATCGGCCGAAGAATAAATTGTGCTGTTTCCACCGTGATCTATCTTATCTAAGTGGTTGCATAGTCATGTTTCGATCGATCGATGACCAGATTACGCTGATGTATTTTCATTCCAGTCACGTACAACGTCTTTATTTAAGCAAACATTCAGTGGCCGTCTCAACCTTGCTACATATAATTTCAGCTAGTTATGTTGTGCTAAAACTGGACACTTTCGATACTGCAATTGAAATTTTAGAAACGCTTGGGATCACCCGGCCGGATCCCACGTTTGCGTCTACCTCCTTCTTTTCCTGCCACGCGTCCTCTCATTTTCGCTTTGGGACCGGCTAAGGGTCAGCTGACTGGACTGAAATTAAATTTTCCGTCAGTCGATTTCTGTCATGTGACGTTGGTATCACCATTCGTGCATGTGCGCGTGAGTAGCAACACACAACGCGCTTCACCCGGCCCTGTGCACTACGCTGACGGAAAGGACGAGCGTGCAAGGTTGAAGGGAACGGCTCGCTGCCTCACGCAAAGCGGAAGCGAGCCAGCATGCCGCCATGCATGTATAGACACAAACAGTACAAGCTAGCTAGGGGCTTCCAAGTAAAAAAAATGCTAGCTAGGGGCTATCGTATCACTACACATATCCCATGCATTTGTGTAGTTAAAGAGAAATGAAAATATATAAAGAAAACCAAAATGAAAAATAAATAAATCATGGCAAAATTTGCACACATTTTACATAGAAATTGTGTTTTTTATAATATGCAAGAATAAACCTATAATAGTATTTCATAAAATGAAATTTCCTAAGAAGGATCGAATTAATCAAACAAAAACTTAAAGAAAATCAAAATATGAACTTTTCTATGAAAGAATGAATTAGTGGTTTTGGTATTACCCATTAAGAAGAAAGAAAATAAAAAATAAAATCAAAACAATGATATTTTCGAAGGAAGAATAAGTTAGTGACATTGGTGTTACCCTTTAATAAGAAATAAAATGAACTAAAAACTAAAAAAATGAAAACAAATTGCACACAATATACACAAAAATTGTACTTTTAAAATATATGCAAGAATAAGCATATAATAGCGAAGTTTTCGCAAAAAAATAATCCTAAGAAGGGATGAGTTAGTGGCGTCGGTATTGCATAAAGAGGAAAGGAGAATATAATGATAACTAAAACAAAATTAAAATAATGAAGTTTTATGTGAAACAATGAATTAGTGGCACTTCTATTACACTTTGGAAGAAAGAAAAGAAAAGTTGCACACAATTGCACTAAAATTTCACTTTTCTGTATTATGCAAAATATACTCATATAATAGTACAATTCTTTCATACATTTTATAGTATTTGTACGCATATATTTTACATTCATCCAGCATCCAAAAACAACCACACACAAAAATCCAACTAATAAAAAGAAGAATAATAACAAGAAAACACAAATAAGGGCAGAAAAAAACAAAGGGAGAGAGGGCTGGGGCGCACATGTAAACTTGCGCATGACTGTGCACCGAAATTGCACTTAATCGTAATATGAAAAAATAATCATATAATCATGAAATTTTGGCACATATTATATAGTATTTGTTTGTATATAATTACACTCAGCCAAAAACCCACAAAAAAATCAATAAAGGGCAGAAAAAGGGTAAAATAAAAACACATGGAAATAGAAAACAAAAATAAAACACCAACAAAAGAAAGAATTAAATTTCCTAAGGAAGAATGAATTAGTTGCATTGTATTACAATTTAAGAACAAAGAAAAGGGGAAAAAGAATCTAGAATAAACACTGACAAAATTTGCACGAAATAACATAAAAATTGCGCTTTTTAAAAATATGCAAGAATAAGCATATAAAAGGGGAAGTTTTGCAAAAAGCAAATGAATAGTGGAAATGGTATTAACATTAATTAGAATGAAAATGAAGTAAACACTAAAACATTATCAAAATAATGATGTTTTCTGAAAAAGAATGAACTAGTGGCGTTGGTATTTCTTTTGAGAGGGGAGATTTGAAAAAAAAAACTTACGCACAACTTTGCACCCAGATTGCACTTTATCATAAAAATAATCATATCATCATATAATTACACTCAGCCAAAAATCCACAAAAACAAAAATAACAATAAAGAAAAAAAACAAAAAGGAAAAATGCAACCCAGAAGAGCTAAAAAGAGCCCAAGAAGCAATTCGACTGACCCAAAATAGGGGTCAATCGATTCCACAGAATCCAACTCACCACCAAAATTACACTGGAAAAAAAACAGCACACATCTCAAAGCAGAATCAAATGGTCACAAAATTGACTGACCCAAAGTGAAAATTTCAGCTGACTGACGTATAGCTAAAACGTTTCGCTTTTCCTTTATTATCTATCCATACTCACGCGAGGAGCAAGCAGCAGCAGCACGCCTGAGAGGCATTGAGGAGGTTGGGGCCTTGAAATTGTGGCCATGGAGTCGCCACCTCTCAAGCGCCTTGACCTGACAGAGCCAGAGCAGTCTCCACAGGATGGTGGCACCTTTCGATCCTCCGTATCTTTCCTTCATCTTCTGCTCCATCTCTCTCCCTTCTCAACAGCAAGCAGCAAGCAGTAGCAGCAGCATGCAGCGATCCGCAGAAGAGGCGGCAATAAGCCGCACGCTACTCCGGCGATGTTGTCGGTGTTGCGACCACAATACATGATGGACTCGGACATGGCAGGAGATGCTTTTGCGGTAAGGGACCTATTGCAACTGCAACAAGAATCTTGTTGCAATGGTGGCAAACACCACTCAATAAGGGTCCTGTTACAATTGCGGCGAGGATCTTGTTGCAATGGCAACGTTGGCGGCCATGAGTCGAGATGCTTTTTGCAACAAGGCCGCCGTTGCAATAGCAACATGGGTCTTGTTGCAATGAGCAAAATAGAGAAGAGGAACTCACGAATACGATCATATGGTGAGCATCTCCTGATTAGACGGTACGCGACCCTGTCGACATTTGAAAAATATTAGCCGGCCGTCGCGTAGCACACCCCTTGAAATTTACAACCCTGAAATTTACACACACAAACACCTCCCCTGCCATCTCTCTAAATCGGTGAAGCACCAGAATTTTTGGGCGAGCCCTACACCCCCACCCTCGAACCGTCAAGTTTCATACTTGCCTCCGTCGGCTGCCACCGACTGCCGAGGCCTTGCTGGCATCCCTGAGCTTCAGTGCACCCAGCAGCTGCTGCTTCCTTCCCCAAAAAATTAAATGACCTAAAATTTCAGATTCAGGCAACTGACATCCAGCTAATTTGGATTTGTAAGGCTGTATTAGTTGGCCCTCTTGAATCTTGTTGATCTACGTACGACCGAGGCCGAAGAAGATAGTCCACCAACCTATCGCTAGATCCGCGGCACACGTCCGTCCCATCAAAGACAAAGATGTAGGTCCGGTACTGCTACTGCACCATATCATATGAGCAGGCGTCCTCCGCACTGTGCTCTCCACTTAATTACTGCCGAAAGAGTGAGGAGAGAATGCAATGCATGTGCCCTACATCAACAGCGATGGTTAGGTTGCTCAAATAAACGGCGTAGTACTTGCAGTAGGATAGATGAAGGCCATTGATGGCATCACAACGGTGAGGATCTGCAAGACGTAGTAACGCACTGCATGTGGGCGCGCGCATGCAATTGATCATGGAGCAATGGACGGCTCCCACAGATCGGCCGGCAGGCACGGCATGGCATATTGCATGCGTTGCCGGCGGCCCGCCTTCAATGAGGCCTGGAGAGAGATGCGCAGGTGGGGGTTTTTTCGAAACAGAGGCAAAGATTGCCTCATCTATTAATTAAGCAGAAGAGAATTGTCCAGTTAATTATGGAAAACCGGGCGAAAACCGGAACAACAAGGGCAAGCACATCCCAAAGACTAACACACAGGGCAAAGCCCACCCACGACCAACTCCGATGACAACCACGTCGCCCACACGACACAAGGTCCATGCCCTTAAAGCTGCAAATCTCCTGAGGCCGCCGCCTCGATATCCCCTGCTCCATTGCGCCCTACGCACTCAACCAACACCGCCTTCCGGGGCCGCCGCCCCGACATGCCACCATGCCACCGCTCACTCTCGAGCAGCAACGTCGCACGATACAGCAGCCCGCAGCCCACACTGCTCAGGACAACCGCACGCAGACCACGAACGCCGCATCACATCTGGGGCCGCCGCCCCAACATGCCACCGCTCACCCTCGAGCAACAACGCCGCACGATACAGCAGTCCGCAGCCCGCACTGCTCAGGACAACCGCACGCAGACCACGAACGCCGCACCACATCCGGGGCCGCCGCCCCGACATGCCGTCCAACCGCCCTCGCTGGGACGCGTCGACCGAGCCGACAACCTTGCCGCCCATGCAGCTCAAGGTCCTCACCCAAGCCATGCCGACAAACAGCCCTACCTCCTGGGGCCACCGTCGCACCGCTGCCCGAGGCCGCCGCCTTGGCTCTCAACTAAAGATCCCGGAGCCGCCGCCCCGGCATACATCGCCCATGAAAACGGAAGAGCCCGCACAACATCCAAAAGCTGACCCTCCAAAGCGACGCCTCCAAGAAGGTTACGACGTAAAACGCCGCCGCCGCCCACTCCAAAAAACTGAAGTTTAGGTTCTCACCCGGAGAGTCCAAGCACATGGAAGAAGAGGAAGAAACTCTACGACGACGCCTCCAAGAAGGTCACGACACCCGCAGGCGCCGACGTCGTCAAAAGCTTTCGCCCAAGTCCCTCATCTCCTAACAGTGAGCCTGCAAATCTGGGCACCATGGATACCCAGACCACCGAAGCCAAGCCTGCTGTGAAGATCACCTCCCGTCGTCAGCCGCCAAAGCCCCCCGCGACGACCCGCTGCAGCACCTCATGCGACAGAGAGACGCCGCGTTTGCCGGGGTCAGATCCGCGGGCATCGCCCCGAATCCACCGTCCCCAGCCGC